GGGAGGGGCTAGGAGGAGGGCTGAGGGTGGCTGCTGGCGAAGCTGTGGCTCTGACTGTCTCTCCCCTATCAACCCCCACCCTAGCCTCTGTGTATAGCCGCTGGGAAGTAGATGAGGATTGGTGTGTATCTGTTCTCCGATCCTACCAGACAGAACATGGGGGTGACTTCCCCTGGAGTGTTGGTAAGACTTAGGGACTTAAGAGAGGTTCATAGAAACTCCTGATGGGAGTAGGATTTAAGAGATAAGGAGGGCTAAAATGCCTGGGGTTTGGGGGGATTGGGGTGGGGGGAGAGATGTACTGTATTTAATTCCTTTTTCTTCAGGTGATGACATTAGTGCAGATGGGCAGCGGCAGCTAGCCTTGTTTTTGGTGAGTTTTGTTTGATTTCCCTACCTTTAGATCTAGATAAGAGAAGACCCTTGGGAAGAGGGAGTGAATCTTTCAAATGCTTCTACTCTTTGGCCTCTGTCTTAACATTTTTTCTTCATATCTGGCTCTCTTTCAGGCTCGGAAACACTTACACAACTTTGAGGCCACCCACTGTACCCCACTTCCTCCTCACGAGTTCCAGATACCCTGGAAGCTCTAGAAGAGCCTAAAATGGGAGTGGCCTTTTTTGGGGGAGGGGTATAGTGAGTGGGGAATCCTTTCCTCTGTGATACGTCATGTTCACATTGTTTATTGTTTTGGGGGAATAGAGGGATTGTCCATCCTCCTTTTTTCCCCATCCCCCTTCCCCCGCATGATGCCTGCCCACCTCCCATCTCTCTGCATTCTCCTTCCCACTCCTTTAAATGATCACAGTTTGTTCATAATATTAAAAAGTATTTTTTCTATCTGGATGACTGATTTTGTGATGGTAAAAGTTAGGGTCTTAAGGTCAGGAAGCCTAGGTTCCCAAGGAGATTGTGCCTTAGGGTTGACTCCAAATGGATTTCCTTCTCTGTTCAACCACCATTATTTCTTTTGTCCTCTCAGGCTTATACTCTTGAGAATGGCTGCCTCTTACTCCTCTGCCAACATCCATTTCATCCCTGTCAGTCCCATCTCTTCCTTCCTCTATTCCTGTTGCCCTGATTACCTTTTGCCTCGATTATTGTACTTTCCACCCACCTTGTCTGTCTGCATCTGGTCTCTTCCTACTCTATACCACCTCCAGATTTATCCTTGCTTCCTGTTACCTGATCAAATTTATACTTCTTGGACTAACCCAAGAGGCCCCAGCATTGACCTGGACCCCTGTGGAGCGTCACTCCTCCAGCTGTGGGACACCTGCTCCCTTGTCTTTGCTGTATTTTCCCTCAGAAAGTCTTTCCTGTTTACCAAGAGGATCTCCTTTTCTTGGTTTCCTGTCAGCCTTCCCTTAGTTGGGCTAGTGTTATGTACTTAAATGTATTTTCTAGCTGCTTTCTGTGTGTCTGGTCTTTAGGAAAATTTAAATTCTTTGAATGTAGGGTCTGTGCTCCTAATGGAAGCTGTTTCCTTCATCTTAGTTTTCTGTGGTGGTGTGGCTTCTCTCCTTGCCATCTCCAATCTTAGTGCCTAGGATAAGAGTGCAACCACAGGTTGTGAATGCTTAGATTAGTGAGAGGCTAAATGCCCCAGTACTGAAGGGGAGATGGAATTGACAAAATGAATTAACGTTTTCTGGAGCAAATCCACCTTTAGCGAACATCAAAGACATTGAGAAATTTTGTGAAGCAAATAAGGTTCAGAAGAGAGGAAATGTTGGGGTGGGACAAGACTGCCTGATATTTTTTGAATCCCACCCTTCCAAACCCAAACTGGACAGTTAATCCTTATATATTCTGGCAAGGAGAATCCAGGGAGCAGCTCCTTCTCGAAAGTAAATGAAGTGATGGGAACCTGGACCCCTATTTAAGGTAGCTCACCTCAACAACCCCACATTTTCCACATTCTTAATCCAGTAATCCTCACTGCCCCTGGCCTAGCTCCTTATTGAGATGCGGGTCTCCATTTTCTCAGCCTCAAAAATTAATTTTTCTTAATTAAGGCTAAGTTTACTCAATCTGTGACTTTTGCCCCTTTAGGAACCCAAATATCCTATTTTTCTGGTTCCCAAACCTTGTGCCCTTTTGTTTCTCTGAATCACTCTTGTCTATACAGTGTTTGTGTGGAGAGGGCTTGGGGAAAGACAGTTACTACTAGAATGGGGGCCCCCTCTGTGTACATGAGGGAAGGATTGAGATTGGGGTGGGGTGTCAAACACCTGGATCCTAGATTGTCTCCTTTTTTCTATGAATGGAACACTTCCCTTCCGCCTGATAAGGAGCAGCTGTGTTTGCCTACAGAGCCCCCCAGGGTGGCACTGGCTTCACCTCCCCTGCAAGTCCTCTGCTCTTCACCCTCACATCCTACTGTATATAGTGGACTCCTTAAGGAGGCTCTTGAAAGAACTTGCCCAATGGTGCTGACTCTACATTTGCTGGAGCTTTCAGCTCTGCTATGCTGGCCTGGGGGTGAGGGATGATCTGAGTTTCTAGGGTGAAAGAAAAAGAAAGGATAGGGAGATGAAAGGGAGGGGACAGAGTACTGGATGCAAAGGGATGTGTTAGATTGAGAAAATAGGGGTTGGGATGGGAAGAGGAGGCTAGTTTGGGGGAGGTAGGTATAGAGTACTGTTAAGATTATGGGACCATAGGATTTAAAGTTGAAAGGGACATAACTGATTGATAGATGGGTAAGCAGGAACAAACAGGCTATACTCTAACTCTGGGTGCTTTCCAATTCCAGATGGAGGAAAACCCAGGACTAGAGTTGGGGGTACTTCCAGCTCTTAGCATAATGCCTAGGACATGGCTGATGCTTAATTAAGGCTTGTTGGATTGGCCTGGTTTGGAGAAGGCAGGTGGAAAGCAAGAACCAACAGACAGGTCCTAGGATTGAGGGTCTCTGCCTGGCCCAGGCTGTGCCTTGCACTGTTCCACATGTGAAATTCTGGATTGAGTGCTGGGCTGTGTGTTTGGGATGCAAAGTTGTTTAATGCCCACTGGGAGAGCCTGCTTTATATAAATTGCTGTGACAGGTGAGTGCAAATCAAGGAATGAGATCCCTTCAGATAGCCTTCTGGAATCTTGGTCTTTGGACCCCGCTGAGTCTTAGCCTGGTCCACAACTCTTGATCCTCTTCTTCCCCTAATTTTGCTCATCCTTCCTCAGGCCCCTCCTCCTCTGACTCCACCCTCGGCTGCTTGCCCCTGTGACCCCTTGTAGTACCTGGGGCGGGGCCCCAGTATGGGTTATATCATCAAATGCTGCCACTATGGTGACTATTGCAACCCCCAGCTCCTTCATCCCCAGAATGTCTTCCATCAGCCAGAAGATAGAGCAACCAAGGGAAGCTCCCTAGAGTACCTAGAAGCCCCAACTCTACCTTGCCTTCTCAGCCAGAGGAAGGAGAGACAGAATGAGGCCTTGACAAGTTGCCAGCGGGATGGGATTAACAGTCCCAAAGCCACACCTTCCCAAAAGAAGACCATACTCCTGCCCAACACCAATCCCCACCCCACTCATAACACCAGTACCGCATCCCCTGGTAGTAGCAGGTACTCCCCTCTTGAGTGCCCACCTGCCTTCTAATATCAGGGACTTCCCTTCCAGGACCTCGTCTCCTCTAAAGACCCCTAATGCAAAACCCACTGGGCTACCTGGTTCCAGTCAGACTTCATTTTAGACTCTGTAGCAAGGTTACCACTACAAAGATCCCCTTTCATCTAGGCCTGTTGGTGGCAATTAGTTTGGGGAGAGGCATGTTAGGGGCGGTCTATGAGATAGCTTTCAACCTTGAATCCCCTGCCTACCCCTTCTCACCTACCTTGTTCCTTCCTCTTCTAGTCCCTTGATGGCATTCATTTTGATCCTCCATCTTGCTAATTCTGATTCGTTTTTCTATATCCCATTCAATATTTACTGAGTTCCTACAATGTGCCAGACGCTTTCTTCTGTTACCCTTTTTCTCTCTACCCCCTTCTGTCATTTTTTTCTCGTTCTCCCTGTCTCCCAGCTAGTCAGTACTTCTTTTTTAACTCCCTGACCTTGGTGGGGCACTGCCTCCAAAGTCTGGTTATGTAATAAAATGAGATTTCTATCATAAAACTAAGCTCTGGGACTTCAGCCTCTCCAAGCTCAAGCAGAGGCATGTATGTTGCTGGCGGGGGCAGGGGCGGGGGAGGGGGAGAGGGGTAAGGAGAAGGGTTGTACATTCTTAGAAGAGGGAGAACAATAATGCTTGGATCCCTGAAAAAAAAAATTAGTGATGGTGGACATAATCAACAATCCTCTGGGAAAAACTGGAGCAGAAACATGATTTAGGAATAGAGATTAAGACTGAGATAAAGGGTTATCAAAACAAAGGAACCTCAGAGTTGGAAAGGATATTAGTGATCATCTAGTCCAAATCTTATTATTTTACAAAAAAGAAAACTGGGGCTCAGAGATAGGAAGGGATTGGCCCTTGGGAGTCAAGTGGAATAAGTGGCAGAGTGTGGACTGCCACCAAATCCAGCACACTTTTCATTCACTGAACCAGTTTTTTTTCCCAAGGAAAGGACAAATTATATTAGATTATAAACTTGAAGAGAGGGACTGTGTCTTTTTTAGTTTTTAGTTTTAGGGTTTTATGTTTGTTTGGTTTTTTGTTATCACTTTTATTGTTTGTCCTTCTGGAAGCTAGCACTAAGAATGCAGTACATGCTTAAGAGTTTGTAGGATGGATGGATCGATGAAACAGATGGAAAGAGGCAGAGTCAAAGGGATAGGGAAAGACATAAAGAGATATGGTCCCAGAACATAAAAATACAGTGGAAGGGAAAGAAGGAAGTTTCTTGAAACATTCCACTGCCACCCTCGGTCACTACAGGGGTTCATGAGGATTCTGGGTACAGTCTTTGTTGTGATGTCACAGCGCCGACTACTGGGGAAGGTGTAAGTAGGTCACGGGCCAGAACTGGTTTAAACCGGCCTGGGTTGAATAGGCCTCTGGGGTCCTGGGCAGGAATTTCTTCTGTGACTTCCGGAGACGTCAGAAAATAGGGACAACCTTGAAGGGCAAGCACTCAAGTGGGGAGAGGAGACCCACAGTTCCCAGAGCCCCAGCTTCGTGGGCGCCGAGTCCAAGCAGAGGCCAGGCCAGGACGATGACTTACCACTCGTCCTTAGTCCTCTGTCTCCAGTCTGCAGGAAGAACTTAAGAACTTGACTGCAGGAATCCATCTGGGACAACTGAGCCTTGGGGAGCCCAGGTGTGGGATCACCCCTGGTATAGGCCCATGAAAATGAGACCCAGGAATTCTGCCTCCCCCTCATCTCTTGTAACACACACCCCACCCTAACTATCGTCGCACTGCCCCCGTGTTCATCCCAGAGCTTACTATCCTGTCCTCGGGTTCTAGTGGGTGAGAACATCCTGTCCCTCTTGGCATGTCTCCTGGACCTCACCCCCGCAACGGGTGGGGGGGGCATAAAACCAACTTGGTCATGGCCCTGAAAATTCCACTGGTCTCCAACCACTAGCTGGACCAGAGCCTGCTTAGGTACAGATTTCGTTGGATGAATTCCGAACTCCTTTCTAAATCAAATTCCAGTCTTAGGATCCAAACTCCTTCCTGCCCCAAGCCCCAAGATGAGGGGCAGAATATTTCTTGGTATTTTGATCTTGATGGGCTCTGCTGTAGGTAAGTTAGCAGAAGCTGGAAGACGATGTATTTACTGGACAGTTGGGGAGAAGGGCAGGTAACTGGGGCATAGGCTAGCCCTCTTGTGTTTCCTTACTGTCTTGTAACCCTCTTCCATTTCCCTTAGCTCCCCATGGGCCCTCCCATGCCCGGTTTTGTCATTTGTGTCTCTTGGAAGACCCATTTCTAGGCTGCTTAACTGGATCTGACATGTGCATCCCAGACAACAAAGGCCAGTGCATGGTGATTAACATTTATAATGGTGAGACATCCCCCTGTCCCCTCTTCGGGAGAGGGAGAAGGAAGAAGAGAGGGAGGAAGAACAATGCTAAGGGTGGGGGGAGGAGGTGTCCAGCACATAGTAGGCTCTTCATGCAATGTGTATTGAATTGAGAAGGATTATGGAAATGGACAGGATCAGGACTAGGGGAGGAGAGAATGAAGCCAGGCATTCTTTCACACACAGAGATGGGGAGTCCCTGGAGTTTGAGCTCTAGAAAGGAGAGAGATTGTACTAGGGAAAACAGGATAGGGCTACATCCTTTCCATCCCTAAAATATGTAATCTTCATCTGGGAGAAGCCTGGGTTGGGATCAGGTTGGGGTGGGGAATGGGTGGTCTGGAGTCAGAGTAGGAAGGCCTGAGACCAAGGAATATCAGAGCTGAAAAGAACCTTACAGACCATCTAATTCAACCCATTCATTGTGCAGAGGAAACCTAGGAGAGCTAAAGAGGGAAAGTGACTTACTGGTCCAGGTCTAGAACTCTCATCTCCTGATTCTCTGTCCAGGGCTATTTCTATTGCACCTCCAACTATTTCTATTGCACCTCCAGGTAACATCCCACAGAAAACTAGGTCTGTTTATCAAGGTTTGAGGCTGTAGGAGGTAAAAGCTCATTCCAGAGTTAAGCTCCTCTCCGCTTTCCCCCAGGTTCCAAGCTGACATATGTGGTCAGAGGCTGTGGTGAGCATAGCTCCTTCCGCTGCAAGGAGGTCCAAAATGGCTTCATTCTTTATTACTGGTTCAGGGCCGAGTGCTGCCAATATGATTACTGTAATGCCTGGTTCCAGCCCCAGCTCCAGGGTCCCATCCCTGGGACCCCACTCCCAGAGGGGCCTCTGTCCTTGGCCCAGATCCAGCAGTTCTATGTAGTGCTGAACCTCTCCCTACCTCTGCCCGCTCCAGCCCCAGGAGAGCCAGAGGATACTGACCTCCCACCTCCAACTCTGAATCTGAACCTGCCTGTGGAACACCTTCACATCCTTTGCGAGTCTTTCATCAAGGATGGCCTCCTGATCCTTCCCCAGACTGAGCCATGAATGCCTGTTACAGCACCCCTCTCTCCCGTGTGCCTCCTCCCTAGTCCCCTAGTATTTTCTCACCACTGTCCTTAATGATAATTATATCTTTATATTAATCTCTAACGTTTGCAGATTGTTTCAATGTCATCTTATTAAATCCTCACCACTCCAGGAAATAGGTAATGAAGCATTACTGAAAGGCCAAGACCACTCTTCCACAATATTTCTTTCATCTTTCCTCTTATCTCCATTCCCAAAACCACATTTTAGACTCTTATCTCCTCATCTAAATGACAATACTAGCTTCCTAATTGGTTGATCTCATCTTTTTCCAATCCACCCTTTATATAATTGTCAAAATAATTTTCCTAAAGCACAAATCTGATCATGTCACTCCTCTACTCAAATATGTCAGTGATTCCCTTTTACCTGTACAATAAAACATAAATTTATCCTAACATTGAAGATCCTTTACAGTCTGGTTCCAAACAATCAATGGACCCCTCCCCCCAAATGCCTATTACAGGTATGATAACTGCTAGGTAATGGGGACACAAAGAAAAAATGCATTTCACCTCAATTATACTTGGGAAGGAGTAAAGGTGGACTGATGATCATCATATATAATTCAAGGTAGAGAGTGTGTTGTGGGAGTAATGATGGGGGACAGGGGGAGGAGAGGTCAAAAAACATACTCTAGGAATATTTGAGGAGTTAGAGAATATATATGTTCAGGGGGTAGCTAGATGGCATAGTGGATAGAGCACTGGCCCCGGAGTCAGGAGGACCTGAGTTCAAATCCGATCTCAGACACTTGACACTTACTAGCTATGTGACCCTGGGCAAGTCACTTAACCCCAAATGCAAATCTGGGCCTTTGTATCACAGCTTCTCCATGATGTCATGTCAGCTTTGGTAGTGAGGTTGTACCCTCTCTTGGTCAGGATCTTCATGAAGTAGTCCATCAGATCCAGACAATGCATCTATTGGCATGGGAAAGGGCATAACCTTCATAGATCGGTACAGTGTGGGTCACACCATCACTAGAGTGCAGTCCATCACAATACCAGTCATACCAGCAGAGGTGTACAAGGACAATATAGCCTAGATAGCAATGCACATGGCTGAGGTGTTGACAGTCTCAGACAAAATCTGTGTTATCTTCTCTCTTTTGGCTTTGGAACTCAGGGAGGGTTCAGTGAGCAGCCCAAGATGCTCTTCATGGGCCACACAGAGTTTAGTGTGTACGAAGGAGAATGAGGACTGAGGCAAGACCATCAGATTTAGTAAGTTATCAATAACTTTAGAGATTATAATTTTAAGAGATTAAGTTAGATTCTGAGTCATAAAATGTTAGAACTATGTTGGGGGTAGGGCACTCTCCCTCTTAATTTGCAGGGTTGGAGCCCCAGATCCAAGAGAGTTTATTCAATCTGCTTATTAGTAATGTCCTTCAAGAGACTGAACTTTTTAAAATCAGGAATTTGGAAGAAGAAGAGAGCTCTGAATTTCTCCAAGATATTGGTTATTAATAATCATTTTTCTCAATAGCAAAAGTACATGCATAACACTACATACCACAACATGTCTGAAAGAAGAATTTATCAATAGTATTTGTGAAATATGGTATGCCAATTTACATATGAACATTGCATTCACATGAATGAAATATAACACCAACAGTGAAACATCTAAATCATAAAAAGGATATAAAATATATTACTATGACACATAAAAGGACACATTCTCTGTTGATGAAGCAAATTTATCTAAATAACCATTTGTCCAAGACAAGGAATTTGTGGAAAGAAACAAAGGGTCTAAGTTCTAGTTATAAGAGTGACTGCTGCCTAGCAGAATAATATGTAACAAGTGCTCAGGTATTGGTGAGAAGCTGGCTAGGTGATCTCTTTTTTTGGTAACTGCCTAGAAACATGTATGACTCTCTAGGTTATATAACTAGGAGTGATCTCAATGAAAGGGACTACCCTGATTATTTTTCTAAAAGACTCTACGGAGCTCAAGGCCATGATACCATTGCTGTTGTTATTTAGTTGTTTCAATCATGTCAGACTCTTTGTGACCCCATTCGGGGTTTTCTCAGCAAAGATCCTGGAGTCGTTTGCCATTTCCTTCTCCAGCTCATTTTACAGATGAGGATACTGAGGCAAACAGGGCTAAGTGACTTGCTGAAGATTATGCAACTAGTAAATGCCTGAGGCCATATTTGAACTCATAAGTCTTTCTGACTCCAGGCCTGGCACTCCATCCACTGTGTGATACCAGAAGGTTCCTACAACCATTTCACAGTGTCCTTACCAGGTCTTCTCCCTGCTGCTAGAAACATGAACTCATCACTTTCATTTAAAGTTCTTTTTGCAACTACATTATGGTTCTCATTGTCCTGGTGTTCCTGTAATTTGAAGCCAGTTTCTCTGTGAGCTACTGGAGTAGTCATAGCAGGATTAAAGAAATCCTATGGCCATGCCATTGTTTGGAGCAAGAAGAAGGGAGGAAGAAAAGGGGGTTCTCTGTAAACTGAAAAAGAGAGAGGGGAGATCAAAGAGCCATTTAGCAAAAGAATCTATTTGTAGGAAAAGTCCTCTTTTGAATCCTGGGGACCCTTGTGGTTGATGTTACGCAAGCACCATCTCAACTACAAGAATTGGGGGTGGGAAAAAGAGGATGGGCAGGATTGCCAGTGGAAGGGGATCTAGGACGGCACCTACTTACTGCACCTTGCCATCTGAATAAGTGGAGGCTATGGCCTGAACTAGAAGAATTATGGCTAAAAAAAGAAAAAGGCCAAAACAAGGGCAGAACGGAATCTGGGATGGATCCTGCTTACTTTCCTCTAACAGATAAATGAGTGCTTGTTCCTGGCAGAGACTAGCTGCAGTAACAGGCCTGAAAGGCAGGATTTAGGGCTAGAAAATAAAGATCAAGTCAAGAGGACAGAAGGATATCTGGGATGGGTCCTGCTTACTGCACACTGCTACCCGAATAAGCATTTGCTTCAAACAGGCTAAATAATAATAACTGACATTTATATAGCACTTATGTTTCAGGCGTTGTACTAAGTGCTTTACATTTATTATCTCATTTGATTAAAAGCATACATTTATTTTTTTATTTTTTTTCAGTAAGAGGTGAGGTTTATTTTTTTTAAGATTCATTAATTTATTTATTTTTAGTTTTCAACATTCACTTCCACAAGATTTTGAGTTCCAAATTTTCTCCCCATCTCGTCCTTCCACCATCCCCAAGACAGCGTGCATTCTGAATACCCTCTCCCCTAATCTGCCCTCCCTTCTATCTCCCCCTTTCTCTTATCCCCTTCCTCTTCTATTTTCCTGTAAGGCAGGATAGATTTCTATATCCCATTGCCTGTATATCTTATTTCCCAGTTGTATGTGAAAACAATTTTTTAACATTTGTTTTTAAAACTTTGAGTTCCAAACCTTCTCCCTTCCTCCCTCCCCACCCACCCTCACCAAGAAGGCAAGCAACTCAACCCAGGCCATACTTGTGCAGTCATGCAAAACACTTCCATAGTAGTCATGCTGTGGAAAACTAACTATATTTCCCTTCATCCTATCCTGCTCTCCTCGTTTATTCTATTCTCTGTTTTGACCCTGTCCCTCCTAAGAAGTGTTTGCTTCTGATTACCCCCTCCCCCAATCTGCCCTCCCCTCTATTATCCCCCCCTTCCTGTAAGGTAAAATAACTTTCCATACCTAATTGAGTGTGTATGTTAGTCCCTCCTTAAGCCAAATCCAATGAGAATAAGATTCACTCGTTCTCTCTCACCTTCCCCCACAACCCCTCCAGTGTAAAAGCCTTTTCTTGTCTGTTTTATGTGAGATAATTTACCCCATTCTACTTCTCCCTTTCTCCTTCTCCCACTATAATCCTCTCTCACCCTTTAATTTTATTCTCCAGATATCACCCATTCATCTTCAACTCACCCTCTGCCCTCTATCTATCAATCCATCTATATGTATAATTTTTTTTCCCCTCCAACTACCCTAATACTGACAAAGGTCTTATGAGTTACAAATATCATCTTTCCATGTAGGAATGTAAACAGTTCAACCTTAATAAGTCCCTTATGATTTCTCTTTCCTGTTTACCTCTTCATGCTTCTCTTTAGTCTTGTATTTGAAAGTTGAATTTTCTATTCAGCTCTGATCTTTTGATCAAGAATGCTTGAAGGTCGTCTACTTCACTGAATGTCCATTTTCCCCCCGATACTCAGTTTTGCTGGGCAAAAGCATACATTTTATAAAAGCATACAAGAAGATATTGAAGCTTGGAGAGATAGACAAATTATACGCAAGGAACAGTAGAGCAGTGGGAGGTGGTTTTTAAATGGAAGGTGCCCCTTGGAGGTTATCATCAGAACATTGGGACCATCTAAGATGACAGACGTATGACTGGGGTAGATGTGAAATGGAGATGAGGACTTGGCGCTCCTTTCTCCACAGCAAGTGTTACTGCTAAGAAAGGACTGGAGGGATCTTTTCAGCAGCATTCTTTTCAGAGTAGCCTGGTCACTAAGTAGATGCATTTCTGTCTTTGCTGGGTTTTGTTGCATGTGCAGCATCTGGTCTGGACACACTCTTTCTTTTTTTTTTTTAATCTAGGCTATGGGGTTAAGTGACTTGCCCAGGGTCACACAGCTAGTGTTATGTGTCTGAGGCCGGATTTGAACTCAGGTCCTCCTGACTCCAGGGCTAGTGCTCTATCCACCGCACCACCTAGCTACCCCTGAACACATTCTTTCAACCTCCTACTGGCACTGGTAGATCAGGTTCCCAAAGGGTGACTATTTCCTCTCCCTTTAGAGTTTGGGGTATTTCATATATATATATTTATACACACATACATATTACTCAGGTACTACCCTGAGTAGATTGGGTATTCTTTTTCTAGTACTATAGCTCATGAGCCCCCACCAATGTGCTTTTCATATTACCAGTTGATATTAATTAGCCACAATTAATTTGCTTTTGAAAGGAATATTTACTAAAAGGTATAGTAAGAACAGTTGGTACAAAGCATTACCCCCCAAGAATCTGTGACACACTCTCCCAAAAGTACATACAGAGAATAGGAGACAGTAGGCTCAAGCTTAGAAAACACACACAGAAAAAGGATAGCTCACAGCTTTTAGAAATCTTTTTGCTGGAGTCTTCAAAATGTTCTCCTTAGCTATCATTTACCTTTTCTGCTGAAGTACTTGTAGAGGCTTAAATCTGATTTTTCTCATTGCATCCAATCCATCTTCAGCTCCCAGTGCTCCTCAACCAATCTGAACCCACTTCCTGTGCAAACTCATTCCAGTTCATTCAATGGCATTCAAAAACATAAATTGATCAAAGACTTTGGGAGGTATTAGGGCCTTGTTCACATCTAGTTTATATATCTGATTGATTGATTCAATTAAGGTGAGTTCTTATCTAACAAAGTTACCAGGGCATAGGTGGATAATTTGATTGACTCAATTGATCCCACTGGAATTCCCCAATAGAGCTAGAACTGGGATAGGGGAATGTTGCTATATTTCTCCAGGGAAGAGACTTCCCCATCTATTTCATTCTCAGAAAGATCAGGTTATCTTTCTACACCTTGAGGCCTTGCTGGGATGGCAGATAGAAGTCTGAAGAAACTCTGCAGAGCCATGATTGGTGGTTGTTCTGCAAATTGCCATTTGTGCCCAAAGCCCAATTGTGTACAAAGACTTTCCAGCATGTCAAAAAGTCATTCACATGTACATGTCTATCCTTTAGTCTCTTTCTGGTTAGATTCCCTTTTGTTGAAGGAGCTGACTTCTGGAAACAAAGAGTTTTCAGAAGATGTATATGGAAAGTCAGGATGAACAAAGGGTCTCTCTCATTTCTAATTATAGTAGTGACCACTGTCTGACTCTGGCCATTAGAATGTATAATCTGAATTCCAAAGCCAATTGATATGGACTTCCTCCTCACTGGTAAAGATCGATGCCCTGTGCACCTCCTGATGGACGCTGAATTGGTGAGAGTGGCAGAGAAGAGAATGCCAATCTCTTTGTATCTCCTCAAGAGTCTCTTCAGTTTTCTTTGAACTCTCTTGAGTCACTTCAAGCTTTGGGTACTTCTGACTTTCAGCTTTAAGAGACAAGATGTAAAGATACCAACCCTACTTCAGGTTGCTGAAGGAAAAGACTCTGGGAAGAAGCCAGTGTGAGAAGAGCTGTCAGTCTCCGTGTCCCTACCCCAGCTTACTACACCAGAGATTTCAGGGAACTTCCCGTTGGGGGAGATTTAGGATTCTTTTTCTTGGTTGAGCTGAGTTACCTCAACTCCAATGAGAGAGCTCATTTACTCCATGTATTGTCCAGTACATATATTTTCTCTGATTTCTGTTTTGCAATAGACTTGAATAAATGGATTTCTGTGCTAACTGTTATGTGTGCTCATTGTGGAACTGGTATTAGGTGGGAAAGGAGTCAAGCCTTGGATATAAAGCTTAGGTCTTGCTGGCTTCTCTCAAATAATAAACAACAATCAGAAGTTTAATTTGAACCTGAAAACCACATCCCTTAGACTAATATTTAAGGAAGCAATTCTAGCCTGGTACCACTTCTCTCTGAGGAGAGCAGAGTGGCCAAACTTCTAGCCCTAATTCCCTGCTTTGCCTCCTGACAAAGTCTCCCCTGGAGAAGGGTGGGGTAGAAGAGACTAGAGATGTGTGTTCTGCCTCCCTTTGAGCCACATGACACCCCCATGCTACATGGAGGGGGCAGACCTTGCTACACTTGCAACATCTGGTCAGCCAGGTAGTGGTATGAACCTGTCTAGATGCTCTCTTATCTGTAACTACCTAGAGATTAATGTGACTCTTGAAGTTTCATTAGGGGTGAGGGGCATCCTATTTAGGCTTGTTGAAGCCTCCATCCTTATATATATTTTTAAAAGAATTATTTTCCCTATTCTAAATGTAACCAACACCAAATGAAATGAATACATTCATATACAAAATGGAACAGAAAAAGAGGATTCTACATGAAACTATAATCTCCACTGTGTATGTCCTGTCTTTTATAGTAAATCCAATATGTAACTTTCTTCTTTTCTCTCATTTAATTTTTTGCAATTACATGTAAAGACGTCTTCAATATTCACTTTTATAAAATTTTGAGTTCCAAATTTTTTTCTCCCTCCTTCTCCTCCCCACTCTCCTCCCTGAGACCGCAAGCAATCTAATATAGGCTATACATGTACAATCATATTAAACATATTTCCACATTAGTCATGTTGTGATAGAAGAATCAGAACAAGAAGGAAAAACCACAAGAAAGACAAAAAAAGAGAGAAAATAGTATGCTGAGATCTGTATTCACACTCCATAGTTCTTTCTCTGGATGTGGATAGCATTTTCCATCATGAGTCTTTTGGAATTGTCTTAGATCATTGTATTGCTGAGAAGAGCTTAATCCATCAAAGTTGGTCAGTTCTGATGTTACTGTGTACAATGTTTTCCTGGTTCTGCTCACTTCACTCAGCATCAGTTCATGTCTTTCCAGGTTTTTCTGAAATCCGCCTACTCACCATTTCTTATAGCACAATAGTATTCTATTACATTCATATACCACAACTTGTTCAGCCATTCGCCAATTGAGGGGCATCCCCTCAATTTCCAATTCTTTGCCACCACAAAAAGAGCTGCTATAAATACTTTTGTATGTGTGGGTCTTATTCCCTTTTTTATGATCTCTTTGGGATACAGATCTGTAAGTGGTATTGCTGGATCAAAGGGTATGCGCAGTTTGATTATCCTTTGGGTATAGTTCCAAATTGCTCTCAAGAATGGTTAGATCAGGTGCACGTGTCTCTTTTCGAGTGGTCCCGCTTGCCAAAATGAAGTTCAATCCATTCATGACCTCGGACCAAAGCAAGAACCACAAGAGACACTTCAATGCACCCTCTCACATCTGGTTCAAGATCATGTTGTCCCTGCTCTCCAAGGAGCTGAGCCAGAAATACAACGTCTGCTCGATGCCCATCCGGAAGGACGACGAGGTCCAGGTGGTTCATGGACACTACAAAGGTCAGCAAATTGGCAAGGTAGTCCAGGTTTACAGAAAGAAATACATCATCTACATTGAGCGTGTGCAGTGTGAAAAAGCTAATGGCACAACTGTCCATGTGGGCATTCACCCTAGTAAGGTAGTTATCACCAGACTAAAACTGGATAAAGATCCCAAAAAGATTCTTGAGCGTAAAGCCAAATCCCGACAAATTGGAAAGGAGAAGGGCAAATATAAAGAAGAAACCATTGAAAAGATGCAAGAATAAAATGATCTGTTATATAGTTGTAATTAAAAATTAAAATTAAAAAAAAAAGAATGGTTAGATCAGTTCACAACTCTACCAACAATGCATTAGTATTCCAGTTTTCCCACATCTTCTCCAACATTTATCATTTTCCTTTTTGTCATATTAATTAATCTGATAGGTGTGAGGTAGTACCTCAGAGTTGCTCTAATTTTCATTTCCCTAATCAATAGCAACACATAACTTTCAAAGGTGTACTGTTTGTTTGTGTTTCCTTCTGACCTTCCTTTTGCTCTCTTCTGTTCATTGAAAAAATATTTCAAAGACCCTGTTTTCTTTCTTTTTGACAACCATATCACTGCTACCCTTATTTTCTTCCACTTTCTGCCCCTCTCCCCAAATGAAGAAAAAAAGGAAAAACAAAACTTGTGACAAATATGCATAGTAAAACAAAACAAATTCCCCACAGACCATTTCTGAAAATGCATGCCTTGTTTGGGCCTTGAGTCCATCACCTCTCTGTCAGGAAATTGGTAATATACTTCATTGTCCTCTGGAATCATGGGTGGTTACTGCATTGATCAGAGCTCTTAAGTCTTTCTAAATTATTTGTCTTTACAATGTTATTGCTAATGTATATAATGTAATGTCCTCCTCTAGAATATAACATTCTCACTTCATCATCATGTTCATACAAATCTTTCTTGTTTCTGAAATTGTCCTTTTCATAATTTTTCATGGTGAGATATATAATTACATTTGGTCAGCCATTCCCCAGTTGATGAACATATTCCCTTAGTACCCAGTTTCTTGCCACCTCAAAAATAATTCCTATAAATATTTTTGTACATATAGGTCCTTTTCCCCTTTCTTTGAATTCTTTGAAGTATAGTAGGCTGCCATTTTGAAAGGTCTTTAACAGGACTAGAAATGTAAGCTTATCCTCTTCAGAAAAGTTATTTTTGTTACCACGTTGAAGTTCTCACTGTCTTGGTGCTCTCATGATTTGAACCTGGGTCATCTGCAGGCTACAAAATTTCTCCCACTTTTCCTGAACTAAGTAAATTTCCTAAAATAAATAAATGTGTTAACTGGATGAGTAGGCCTAATATTGGTACTGTGACTTCCTGAGCTTTTGGACAATTTACTAGCAAAATTCCTAAACTCATAGGCCTAGAGTTCCAGTCCCAATTGCTCAGGTTGGCTGATAGAGTTTCCAATGGGGACGTTCTGCTCCCTAGAATGGAGGTCTTCTCAAACTTTGTACTCCCAAAATATTCATAAATCTACTATACTAATAGTCTATGTATCAGAAACTATTAAAAACTATGTATTATAAACTATACTAATAGTATACTACACTATTGCTACTATACTGTCTATGTATTATAAACTATATACTAATAAAAATAGAAAAGTATGAGACAAAGATGAGATAATATTTTTAAAATAATTTATCATTCTTAATGATATTTTAGTGGGAGCAATGTGAATATGCTCCATTATTGTCAAAAATCTTGGTTTATCATTTTGTGATAAAATGATTTGAAGATTCAATTCTATGTTCACTTTATTTTGATACTTGGTTTAAATGACTGCAAATCAAAAAGATACCTTACAAATACACAAAGCTCCACATGCTCCAAAGGTAGCATCAACTTACTGAGTCAATACTAATTTTTCTATCCCATGCATTAATTATGCAAAGGCTTTTTTAAAATTTGGCTTCCAAATTTTAATTTTCCCCAATGTCAATCCATTGTTCTGGCAAACTAAATAGAAGTATGGCATTTTTATATTTATAAGAGGGATGTCTCATGTACCTACCTGTATAATTAAGAGAGCTCAGACTTCTCCACTGAATCAATCAATCAAAAAACATTTTTTTTTTTAACAAGGTAAGAAGAAGTCTCTGTTTAATCTGAAAGAAATGAAAGCCACTGCACAGGAAGTGTGCTAAAGAGACTCAGTTATGCCTTATGGGTTTTATAATAAAAGATAAGATCATTTCAGAATCCAGGAGGTTCCAGTGGTGACCAAGAAGAGAGCAGGTCCAGCCAAGCCCCCGAGAAGAATACCTTTGGTGGGGAAGGGGAAGGAGCAGAATCTGAGACTCTTCTCTTACCTTTAATCAGAAAAGCACTTAATGAACTTCAGAGGCTCAGAGGCTTTGGCCTTTTTCAGTGTTCTAAGAGTGTCTCAGAAACAGATGAGACAGATGTTAGTGTCTGAATCAGGAGCTGAGGATGAATTAGACATACTGAGTAAAAGCAGCTTCATCACTGTACAAGGACCTGAGGAGAAGGGGGTACAGGAAGCTACACTGTGCCTAAGGAAAATTTCATGATTATACCATGAAGGGGAGAAAAAGACTTCTAGCAAGTGGGAACTGAGTGCCCTCTTTGATTATGGCGATAAAAAAGGTTCAAGAGACATAGTTTCTGGGTAATTTAATCATTTTATTAATAAGGCCAGCATGTTATTAATAAAAGGATAGCCATTTGGGTGTTTCTCTTAGACCAAAGACAATCATGGGGGTGGTCTCAAAGCTTATATATTCTTTTGAGAGAGGAGTGGCAATAAACTGATTGTTTAACACAATAGGAAGTGAGCTGTATTAAAAAGAGGGACTGAGAGTCACCTCATGTCACCCCTGGACAGAGAAACTCTCTAAACTCAGACCACCTCCAGCCTTGGGCTATCTTACCCAAGTTGGGTTGAATGGAATTCACCTGAGATTATGGTTTGTTCTTGAAGAGGACTGTAACTTCAGGAAGATAATGCCATGATTTGCAATTGAATTGGATTTAAATGAGGGAGGGCTGTACAAAGTCACTAGCCTTACTTAATCCTCCAGAGCCATCTGGTTTTAGAGATTCCTTGTAGGGTTGGGTTGGGTTGGATAGAAGAGAAGTTTAGCTTGACTTTCAGATACTGGGGTCTTGAAAATAGAAAAGAAAGCGGGAACCCAATCTCCCTAAATCATTAGTTATCAATAATCATTTCTCTCATGATACCTGTATTTGCTAAGATTGAGCTCACTTTCCCTGAATTGTGCATATCCTGGTAGGAGAGGATGTCAGGTTGAATCATCTCATTTTACTCTACCACTTTAGTAAATATCTTTGTAAATGCTAATAAGTCTGACAGACTAATTGATATCAACTGATAGTCAATGGGAAGAGGAAGCTCAGGATGGGGCCTTATGATTTTTAGCATTAGAAAGTTATTACTCCACCCCTCAGTACTCTCCCTAGAACCCAGAGGGATGACACGGCAACTGGCCTCTGGGAACCCAGCCTGCCTGTTGGGAGAATAAGTCCAGAGCACGTGCTACATATTTTTAACAAATGGTTTAAAATTCATAGAAATCCTTTGTTTGAAAGGTTTTTAAACAGGTTAGAAAATGCCATTTCCAAATGACTTGCTCTATTACTGCTGGCTGATAAATTCCCTGACTGCTTCAGGTTGGCCCATTGGAAATGTGATTCAGTGCTAAAGGACTCAGATGACATGAATGGGGATGATGAATCAATCCCTTTATTGGCCACTGAGCAGGAAGAGTCAATGACTCAGTGGATTTTTAAAGAGAGTGATTTTTCCCTTTTCTTTGTTTCCCTTTGACCCTCTAGGTGACTCCATGTGACTTTGGGACTTCCTGTGAGCAGTGTGTAAAGGATGGCATTTCTCCATTCAACCAACATGTCTAGTGCTCCCACGTAGCAGCTAGTATAGAGGGCCTCAAATAGGTAAGGATGAGCTTAGGCTTCTAGCTATGGCTTCTACTTTGATATCTTGTTTTTGCAATACCTATATTTATATATATACCTATGATGGGGTTGGGATCTGGGCCCCAAAAAGGAAAAACCCTGGACTTTCCCACTTGGCCAAAACTCTGGCCTTCGCCTGAGGCTATAATCCCATCAACTGGCCTTTCACTGTGGCTACACCCAATCTCCTAATTCTGTTAACCTTCCTTTGTTTTACCTCCTTATGTATGGCCCCTGGCCATTTCCCACCCTTAATCCTAGCTAGGCTCCATTCTCCCTTGGCCAGGAGGTCCAGGTCCCAGGAGTTCTGTTCACTCCAGTTTACTGGCCACTCCTAGGTCCCTCCCACAGGCTTTCTGTATATAAAGTCCATCTTGTCTCCATTAAGATGCTTAGATTCTTATAATCTAGCCATGGTTCAGATTCCTAAAACCTAGCCACTGCTGAAATTCTAAAATTTAGTTACTGCTTACCCATGTTCAGACTGCTTAAGAGTCTGCCCAATATGACGGATTTTCTAATAAACCTTGTCTTTGGCTGAAAGAAGGCTTGGGTAGAATTCTTTCAGGCAGGATCTGTGTGTTGTGATTTTGGGGTCCCGGGATCCCTGAGCCCCTAAACCGCATCACCTATATTTCCCAATATATCCCTCCTCACATTAAACAATAAGGGGAAAAAAGGTATCAATAGCATTTATTTTTCAAAAAGAAAATACTATTTCCAAGTCTTTAAAGGATGAATATTTGAGAGCTTTTTCAGGTGATTAATTGGGTTTTTTTTGTTTGTTTTTTAATTTTGGAGGTAATGGGGGTTAAGTGACTTGCTCAGGATCACACAGCTAGCTAGTGTCTGAGGTCACATTTGAACTCAGGTCCTCCTGACTTCAGGGCCAGTGCTCTATCCACTGCTCCACCTAGCTGCCCCAATTAATTGCTTTTTTAAAAAATAAATTTTTATTGATATTTTTGGTTTTATTAAATCATTAAAATTTCTCTCTTGTATGCCCCCTCTTGATAAGGATGGGATCTAGACCCCCAAAAGGAAAAACCTTGGACTTCCCCACATGGCCAGATCTCTGGTTTTAGCCTGAAGCTATAATCCCATCAACTATAATCCCAGCAAAGCCTTCCTTTGTGGCTATACCCAATCTCCCAATTCTCCGTTACCCTTAACCTAGCCCAGACTTCCCTATGTCCCCAGGCCACTTCCCACCCTTAATCCTAGCTAGGCTCCATTCTTCCTTGGCCACCC